GCCGTCGGGTTCTGAGCCCTCTAAGAATGTATTCTTTCAAGCACTCATTTTGGATCCCTGAAACACGCTTCGACGCCTCGATATTCATAGAAGCTTCAAAATTCACCGAGAGAAAACTTATCGAAAGACTATCACCGAGTCATCAAATACTTTTCAACTATTCAAAATCTATCGAAGCTCAGACTACTCGAGGAAAAACAACATACAGCAGAGCTATGAAGCGTACCCCAGAAATTTTTGTACTCGTGTTTAGCTTTTTAAATCTTTGCTACAATATGTTAATATTCTAATAAAAATAAATTATATGACCAAACATAGTGTCTGTTGTATTTTTACGGAGCATCTATAATGAAATCTTTTGACAAAGAGTTGACCAATGAATATTGGTATCCACTATGTTTACTTTATATTATCTTGAGTTATGCGGTTTTCCAATCAGTTTTTCATCCCAAAAATGGAAATAAAGCTTAATGAATGTATTCTTTCCATATTGATTTATAATTATTTCTGTCGTATTTGACTAATGCATATTATGCCAAAAATTAGATTTAAATTTCTCCTTAAGAGATATGACAATAATGTTGACATGGAATTTAACGAAAATAATGGAATACAACTTTCTGAAAAATCTCGAGGATATAGATATGTCACAGGCAAAATTAAACTTTAGGCAAAATTCGTTATAGCTAGGCGCGCAATAGCGAATTTTTTAAGTTAATTTTCGTTTTCAACATGAATAGAGACAAACAAAGATTTTGATTCTTTATTTAAATAAAATCTAAATAAAGTAGCAGAACATTGATTTTCACATAATCACGTAATAATTAGAACCACTACTTTTTTCAATATCAGAACTTGAATCTCAAAAACGAATTTCAGGCACAAGCAAATGAGTATCTGAAATCTATAAATCGACAATTTCAAAAGTCAATGAATGTTCAAGTCATGAATGAAAAGATTCTTCGTCACCTATGAATAACTGTTTACTATATTGCGATTCGTCCAGTACATCACGGTGTCCCGAATTTTTTGTCGTAAAAAAGCATGCAACCTTGACACTTTTGCTGTGTAACGGAGAACTAATCAAGCCGGTTAGCTTATAAAGCTATGTAAGATCTTTAGAAGTGTACTAATTTTAAAACACCATACGATGACGTTATGCTTGCCTAAACAGTTTATCGATAACCTATATCTAGTCCGATCGGCATGCTTTCAAATCTTAAAAATATTGCCTTTCATGTGAAAAGAAAGAAAAAAGATCTAAAAAACTGTCGTATCAATATTACGAGTAGGTTCATCTCTGAAAACTTAACTCTCTAGTTTTTAATTCGAAATTCAAACGATGTAGAACCACCAGCCCTTGTTCTTAAAGTATTTGAAAATGGAAAGAGGTAAACATTGCTTCAAGTTTCTTCTTTTTTTTTGGTCGAGTAAGCGTTTTCTGTAAGCGTAACTAGAATAAGATTCTTTCTCAACGAGTGATCAAAGTTGAGATACAGACATTGCGCTATTTATCGATAGGATGACTCTATAAATACACAGCAATATGCTTATAAGAATTCTAGTAATTTATTATTAATACTCGATGCGACTCATTATATTCTATCTCCACCTGCCACAGCTGGCATATATTAACCCTTTGTTTCAAGAGATTGGTGTTTATTGCTGTACTCGTTGTTAGTATTTTACTTATATTGGATCGCAAGAAAGAGAATACCCTCACAAAACTATTTACCGATCTCTCTATGAATAGACAGGCGTTCCTGTTAATGATCAAAATCTAAGTGAATGGCTTATGTGAAGGAATCTTCGACAGCAAGCTAACATAAGAGAGAGAAACTCACAATAACTTCATTGGAAGACTCATACCAACGTATAAATGAGCAAAACATATCGTCTGTTCTGTCGAATTTTTTACCCTTCTAGCCCAACTCAATTTCAGCTGAATGCATTGCTGAACTCTGCATCATCCTAGATGACAACCGAGTTTACATTGAAAACAGTGGCGTACTTTACATCTTACAAAATTAAGTTTAGATTTGTATTGAAAGTACTAAAACAAATTGTTAGTTCGTGAACATAGATAAAGGACGGGGGCGCATAAGATACCGTTTTGGCCCATTTTGATTTTCCTATGAACTGATATTGAATTATATACCATAAGAAAGAGCTTCTCAAGACGAACATTTTAATGTCAAATTCATGAGGTTTTCATAGACTTTTCATGACAAAACGCTTNTAAGAACTATATCCACATGTTTTCAATATCTCAGCTCTTCTAGTGACTGAGATCCGAACGAAAGAATATTTTTCGTTAGTATTGTGAGTAATTATTGTACAAGTCGCTCCGAATGGACCCATATCGAAGGTTACAATTGAGGTACTATATCTCAGCAAGAGTTTAAGTGCGCATCTTTCAGCATCCACTGGAGATAGATGATGAGATGCTCTATCAAATAACAAATTAAAACTTGAATTGAAGCTCCGGGAAACTAATTGCATTATTGGCTACTAGCCATTTTTCAATATACTGGGCGTATGTATTTGACTTTATAGACCATAAAGAACTTCAGAAAGTCGAAATGGGCTGTAATATACAGTAAATATATAACACTGTATGACTATATAATAACTGATGAATATAACTAGATCTCCAACTTAAAATATACATTTTACGTATATGGTCCTATTAGTGATACTTACCTGTTTTATGTACCTTGTGGTACCTGCAGCTTAACAAATACTTGCTTTCAATCATTATCCAGGATGCAGTTAAATGTAAGGTCATACCAGCTTCAATGCTAGATACGATATGGGTTTACATCTCGAAAATCGATTTTGTCGCCTGGCTGTCCACTGCGGAGGGAGAGGAGTAGTCTCACCCTATAGCTTATTTCTTCCCCTAAAAAATTGAACTTTTGCCGTCCGTACTAGTAATAACTGATATAACAACCAATTCGAATGAAAGTCAATCAGTACCAACAACAGCAGCAGCATCTGTACTTACAAATGAAATATTAAATTGGCTTCGATCAGATTTTGATGATATTGATTCGGGTGTAACAGAAACAGCACTTACAAGTGATCGTGTTACACGTTTCATAAAAAAATGATGTGTTGAAGAAAATAAAAAATGAATTGGAAAGTTAAGATTTCGCTCATGTAGAATAAAAACATTCAACAATAGTCTTTAATTTTTATTATTTTTTCACTTTAGTTTTTTTGTAGCATTTTTATGTTTGACTAATTCTCTTTTTAATTTTCTTGTGAAAAAATTTTTCAATGTAAGAAGAAAAGTTTTTCTTGATGTATGATGAACATGAATATCTTTTAGATATTGAAAATAAAAAGAAGATTTACATGTGTTTTCAGAAAACCATACCTGCTCTTACATGCAGAGTTTTTTCAGTGTCAAGAAACAGTAACGCTAATAAATTTATAGAAATTTAAAAACGAAAAGAAAATTCAATGATCCTTACCTGTTCAATTTTAAGATAAGAAACAGTTCTATTCTTTTGTTAAGTTTCAATGAAACCCGTTAATTTATGAGTAAAGATCAGCTCCTGATAAATAATATCTATTAAATAGATTATAACAAAGTTAAACATGCAAACCCTTGCATACTACATGGTCGTTTATTTTAATGATAGAAAGCAACTTTTTTGGGATGGTAAGGAAATAATCAAAGACATACTTAGACTGCTTACATTCACTATCTCAACAGAATTTATTCGTATGGATAGTTGATTTGTCGGCGGTTGTAAACTGTGGAGTAAAAGGTGTTAGATGCAAGTGTAGTGTAGATGTTACTTCACGATTTCCAGCAGAAATCTTAATGGGCTGAGTAGAAGAAAGTCGACCAATGAACCACGCATCTTATTGCATTGTAGAAATTTTCAACACATCAATGAGCATGTATATTTTACGATTTCCAGTAGTTGATGCACAAACAAATGTTCGGCAACATGGTTGATCCCTTTCAAAACCTTATATTCTGTCACATTCACCAGTGTCTTTCGATTTTGGGTGTGAGTGGGTGGGTACAGCGAAGATGCACACGCACATCCACCCTTTTTCTTGTTTTTAGAAAAATATCATGTCGACATCTGAAATATAACTCACTGTCTAACTCTTGCTGCTCTTAGAACTGTTTTTCCCATTTTCACATGTGAACATTTGCTAAAACTTGAGCATATTCTGAGCTCATGGATCCTTCTCTGATTGGTTCACTGAATTGACACCCTCATTAACGATGTAAAAAACTGGAATACCTCCGATTTTAATTGAGTATATTCCTTTTGAAAGTCGATTTCAATGGCATGATTTTGATGTGATTTCAATGAGATTACTTTATTTCTAATTGATTTCAATTGCGATGAGTTTAGAACGTTTTTTGCTCGAGTTTTTTATGGAAGGAAGACTTTCTCAATCGGTTTATCGGAATTATTGCCTCGACAAATAGTAAGTACACAATAGTAGACCAATCTGCGACACCCTTGTCACCGTTTGAGGTACAATATCAATCGATACTTTATTGTGAAAGAAAAATGTTGATACTCCTGATTGAGAATGATTTCTTTATTCAAATCGATTGCAATTATTTTCTTTTCGAAACTATAATCAGATGATCATCACTTAGAATTGATTATAGTCGATTGAAAATATGATTTGATTGAAAAATTTGATTTTAATAGATTTCAATTCAGATTTTTGTGTAAAATAATCGAGTTTACGATCGAAATTATGTCGCTAGAATTTGTCACGTTTAATCAATTTCAATCCCCAAAATTTTACTCTCAAATAAGTCGATCTGTTGCTCAATTGATTGATTCCTTTGTCTCAGATTGTTTTTCTGAAATGGTTGTTAGTTATTTTATTTAAACTAGTTATCTATTGAAGGTTATGATTAATCCAATTAACGAATGAACGATAATCTGAATTTATGAAGAGCTGATATTTGATTAGATAAGTGGCTGCGATGTTAAGACATCTGTCAATTTCTAAAGCACAAGTTCATTACAAGATTGATTCAATAGAACAATTTTATCGAACTGCTCTTGATACTTTTTCATATTCGGATCATCAGATGTCATAAATGCTTGACGTGCAATATCGACAGCTTTCTTTGCATGTTGAAAAGCATTATCAATTTTGTTCAAACGTTCAAAAGTAATCGACTTAAGAAAATGAGTTTCAGCTAGATGTGGATGATTTGGTTGCAGAACTTTTTCTTGAATATCAAGTGCTTTTTCGAGACAATCCAGGGCACCCGAATGATCGTTCATTGTCGAATAGAGCAAACTCATGTAATTATATGTCATTGCCAAACGAGGATGAGTAGGAGGCAAATGTTCGCGTATTATTCGCAGTGCATGCTCATGACTAGCCCATGCTTCCAACAATTTCCCCTGGTTTTTTTGTACCCAACCAATATAATTGTAACGGTCCACTATGAGTTGATAATCAAGCGGGCATAGCGGTCTTAAGGAGTAATCAAGATATATTGGAATCAACTTGCTCAATAGTTCGGCTATAGCTAAGTGAAACATATCCTCATTAATTTGTTCGCTACCAAGCACATTTCGTATTGTCGAAAAGACAGTGATCAAGTCACTCCTGGCTTCATCAGCAACAATACTCTCATCAAGTATGATTATACTATACATCTTGCGAAAATGCACTCTTGCTCGTTTCCAATCATTCTTATATAATGCAAGCAGTTCGGCCAATTGATAGTGTGTCATTTGTACGTACTTCAAATTATTTTCATGTGTTGCCTTATCAAGGATCATTTCATATAGTTTAATTGCTTTGTCATATTCACCCATATGTACAAGTAGTTTACTTAATCGCCATGTAGGATCCATGTTGATTTGAAGTTCATAGTCAAGAGAAGAGCTGAGATCTATGCGCATATGTTCTGTTAATTGGCGAAGTTGTTCATCATTGGCATTAGTCAATGTTAAATGAACATTCCAAAATCGTGATTTGTTATCATCATCCAATGATTTTATTTCACCAATACGAAATACGGTATGCATTGAAAAGAGTATTTCTTTTTCTGTGTCTTGAAAATAGCTGTGTTTATCAAGTAATGCAAATGGTACCGATAATATCGACGGATCAATAATCATTTCGAATAGAACAGCCACTTTTTCAGGCTTCTGTAGAGCTTTTCGAGAAAAACATAAAGAAACTTCTTGCGATGTACTTGTCGACAAAAAATTGTTAAATGAAATGAGACCACCTTGATTTTGTTTCATTCGATCTAACGCCGCAGGTAGTATCCTACTCCGATTAAAAATAAATAAGAGAAATTGATTTCATACTGGACTACATGAGCTTTGTTTTAACCCATTCTTCAGACTACGTGCGAGAAAATAAATGATGAAAGTTAAAAATCCAATCTATCTTCCTCATAATATCTTTTCGTGGACTCAATACTTGTACATAATGAGCAAAAAAAATTCTTTTCGTAATTTTTAACAGCTCTTCAAACTCTTCTTTTGCTTTATAAGGTCAAGTTAGACTTGTTCTCATTTACAGTTTCACAACGAAAGTTTTGTTCTTTTCTTAAAAGTATCAATTTTTGTCGAAGAAATGTATCATTTGTACGGTCCACAAATATCCGGCAACGATAGAGAAGATGCTGTACGATCACTTACCCTTGACCTCGATAGACAGTCAATATGTTACCATTGTTCGTTGTTTTATGAAGTTGTTCAAGTTGTTGATGAAGATCATAAATAAAGAAGTTCATCTTGATCAAAATCTCCATATCTTGCGTACATAAAGCTCGATTTAGCATTGAATAAAGAAAACATTCACGTGTATACCACCAAATCGGAGATGGATTGCTATAATTTTGCTTGAATTCTTCGATTACACATAATTCTGCATTATTATGAGCATAGTAAATTCGACAAAAATCAATAAAATCTTGTTTCGCTTGTTCACGAGTTGTATTATCATATTCTATACTGAGTATAATGTCTTTGAGTAATTGCGAGTACATGAACGATGCATCAAGGTGATTTGAAATTTCTAATGTTTGTGAACCGACTGTCTGAATAGAAGTCAAGTCATTTTGACAATGTTTTATATCTTCCTTGAGTTGATTACAAATATCTTGAATATCTGTAAAGATGCCTTTGATTTTACGATGGTTTTCCTTTCTTGCCCATTGTTCATGTTTAAATTTTTTACAACAAAACACATAAATTGAATCAAGTTTAATGTCATGTTCAATGCTAGGTACTAGCTGTTGCCCAAGGGAGCCCGAAACAATCAAAAAGACCTTTTCTTGTTTCACTTTATTGTCAATAAAATCGATACATGACTCACATGTATCAAACATTTTGATTAAATTGACAATATGGCGGAGTTTTGTAATCGATGTTTGAATATCTTCATTTCTTCTATTTCTGCGACGAAGCTTCGAGTCCACCCATATAATAATAAAATTTTCAATAAAACGAATTTCTTGTTGTTGATCAGCCATGACTTATTCACATACGTCAATTGTTGCTTTCTTTATCACAAGATAGTTATTTTAATATACTTTCTATGAAATGATTAATCAAAAAGACAAGAGAGTATGCTTCATTTCACTGAGCCTATCACAGTTAACGAAGCATGTTAATTAATGTAAACTAATGCATCATGTGCGTTTTTAGTGAAGAGCGCACTAAAAAAAAACATTTTCAAAACATCATATGAGATACTTTACAACCTTGATAAATGATGCATAAATTTAATATTCATCGTGATCAATAAAAGATAAAGAGATATTGCTTTTTAAGATAAAAATAGAAACTACTGAATATTCAATTCGCTCGGCTTAAGGAAGAGTCATATGAAATAAAATGAGTGTTTGCCTGCTTACACGTGTAGAGTCACCTGTACACGTATATTTGTGTGATTATTTTTCATGAAGTGTTACCAAAGATAATCGAGGTCGGAAAATTCGAATTTGTAATGGGTTTTTCGAGATATTGAGTTTGATTCTTTTTATCAAGGGGAGGCTTTTTTAGGAAAATAATGATTTTGTAAAACTCACATATATTTTCAAAGAAAATAGTGAGTAGAAGTTTAAATCGAGGTTTTTGTGGTAATCCACCTCCTCCTAGGCCTTAGCAAGCAGGTGACGAGAAGCCAAAGATTATTGAATATGTTGCCGTAGCAATAAGGGAAAGGTATGTCAGTAAGATCAGTAATTAGATCATACTGAAACTCTGTAGATTCTAACTAGTACAAATTTTGCAAGTTCAAGTTTTTAATGGAGCGAAAGAATCTTTTCGCAAATGTCAATCAATACCGCAGTTGTTTGTGTTTCATTTAACAGAGCCAGAATAGGACGAACATAAATCAATCGAAAATAGACCAACCTATTTTTTAACTAAAAGACAAGTTCAATTAGTTATTCTCAACTTTTGCTTTTCAGCAATGAATTCAGTCGAAAATTAAATAGAATAATATATAAATATGCTTTAATGAAAATTAATGAAAGAATGCAAAGTTAATGTCGCCGGTGCATTTTGTTTTATTTATTGAAATATTGAAGCACTCATTACGGCTTTGTATTACAATGCTTAGACAGTGAAAGCATTAACAAAACTAATTACGATGCTTAGATTGGGGGTGAAGGTGCATAACCTAGAGGATCCCACACTCACACCACTTGTACTGTCGGCTCGAAAAAAACTCAAGTACTCCCTACATTTGTGCAATCAGTCATGAGCAGAGCAGCTCATCAACGATTTCTCTTGTAATCTCCAGTAACGGAATCATTCTCTCTTTGTAAGTGTCATTTGATAACTGTCTTTTACGGCAATCCTTTCACTCTGATCCTATCCTAACTAGAGACTTGAGTAACAAAAATCTTTGTGTTATTCGCAAAGGGCCTGTGATATTAGGAAAATACATTTCTCTTGAGTGCAAATGTAGTTTAATTTTATTAGAGCACAAAAATAAAATGTTGGATGATGTTATTTCGATTCAAATAGTAGTGAAATATAGCAACTAGGTCAACTGTATGCAATAAACGAATAATAAGTCTTGGCAGAGTTTTTAATCAGAAACGAAGGTTTTGATTAACCTTATTCCTGTGTGGATTGAATGGTCTTGGCTACTTCTAGATGTTCGTATATCTTATAGCCAACGATACGATTAATGATATTGAGAGAAGATTAACTAATAATTATTTATAACCAAACGTTGAACAACTATCTGAGAAAGACATGGCTTCAAGGAAAAAATTCATTCCTAGTCAATTTTCGGGATTTTCGATTCATTTGAAGTATCAAACTTAATAAAATAAAAATATGAACCGTTTGATAATTTTTCCTCAGAGTTTACTCAAAGTGCACTCCATTATGCATCAAATGTGTTAACCAATGAAATAGAGAATTGAGTCATTCTGATCAGCTTTTGGTGGCTAACACACCCAAAAAACGATTTTCAGATTAATAAATAGAAGAAACCAGAGATATTTCATTAAAAATAAAGTCAATAAACGTGATGTGTATGTTAAAGTACATGTTGTCTTAAGTTCACTAGGCCACAGATCAAGAGGATTCTATTTTTCAAAATTTTCATTCCCTATTTACGGCTACTTTTTCGTGATAAATCCAATCACCATTATACGATTTCATATACCTCTAAAATGATATCCACATTTTCCCTTCATTTGTTGGATTCTTTTAACTCATTACCATTATCATAATTTTGCCAAAACTATTTATATGGCATCATCTTGGATTGATCTTTCAAATTTACAAAAACCATTGAAATTCAATGAATTTCAAGTTAATTTCAATACTGAATTATATGATGCTAAACCATTGCCAAGTGATATTCAAAAGAAGCTTGATAATATATGGAATTATTTATTAAATCATACTAAACCAGAAAAAGTTTTATTTAATGAATCAAAATTTCGTTTACATTCAATTGAAACAAAAACTAATAACGAAAATAATTCAATTCAACTTATTCTTAATTTGGGTTTAACTGATTATAAATCATTTATTTGTACTCAACAACAAGATCTACCACAAGAAATTCGTCAATACATAACAGAAGATCATTTAGCACATCCTCTTGGTGTTGCATGTATTCTTATAACATCTGATAATTATATTGTTTTAATTAAGCGAAGTTCTGCGTGTGCTGATCTACCAAATACGTATGATTTACCTGGTGGTCATGCTGAACCCAAGAATTTGAATACATATACTAATGAAAATATAATTAAAGAAATTATCTCATCAGTTATTGCTGAATGTGTTAATGAAACAAATGTTGATAGAAATAGTCTTCTTATTGATTCTGATTTTTATATTGTTATTGTTATGCGAAGTCAAAAACATTATGGTCGACCAGTTTTTGAATTTTGTCTTAGAACAACAATGACATCAAATGAATTACAACAACGTTATAATTTACAAACACAAAATGAAGCATATGAAACAAGTGAACTAAAATGTTGGCCTATTGATAAAATCTTTGACCTTTTAAGTCCCTCGAATACATCAGTGCCAATCAATCCAGCTTGTCATGCTGCTTTAACTGCATATATTCGTTTATTTTGTTAGAAACAAAAATTCTGATCAAAATACGTAATCTGTTGATGCAATAGCAGAAGTAACGAGAAATTCGTAAAATGATTGACTAACTCTTTCGCACAAAAAAAAAACAAGAACAAAAAATAAAGAAAAAAAGAATCAATTCGTTCTTTGTGATCGTGTAGCTAGAAAATCTATGTTGTACTTGTATATGGCTCTATAGCCATATTTTGTTAGATCGAGATGATCAAAGTTTGACGAAAAATAGTAATGAATTTGATGATTTCTTTGCATTTATATAACAATTAATTATTAAAAGTATATTGTTCATATTACAATTTGAATGATTGATGAAAGTTCTTGAACTTAACAGGAAAAGATAAAAGGATGTGTGCACGAATCAAGAGTAGACGCTTACTCATACTCTTACATCTACTCACATCCTACTTGTAAGTGTGACGCTCCTACTTCTCATTATTACTGTTCCATACAGAATCAGCAGATACTTACTATGTGAGCTTACGTTTAATAAAATTTATGCAGCTGCAATGACTAGGTAACGTTGATCATTGCGCAAGAGAGATCACTTCTTGACTCCGTGTATGACTACTGACAAAAGTTTATGAAACATCTAACAGAAAAGTCTATGGGTCTTAAATAGAATAACTTTTTTATAAATTATTTTACACAGAATGCATATCATACGAATTTAGATGTTTTTTCTTTTTTCTACGTTCATGAGTGTCGAAAATATTACTTCAAACGATCATGTTTCGGTGTGAAAAATTGTATATCTATAAATAAATCGACCCGCATTAATAAGTTAAATATACTTTTTTCAATTTTTTACCTTTACTATTCTTGCCTTTGACTGATAAAGTTTTGTAAACATGTCTATTTTCATTTCATAACAATACTTCTTATTTTCTCTTTCTTTTTCGTCACGAGAAAATGGCGATGCAGGATGTGTGATAGACGATATGAATTTTCCTTTTTCTATACAATTTCATAAATGATAACCCATGTGGAACCAATAAAAAGGTTATGTTAAAAACCGATAGTTTTAGAGCAATGCCATCTTTCACTCAATCATAATTTCATAGACGATTCTGTTGTTTTTTATATAAATAAAATAATTAAAAATAGAATCTTATTCAATAAATCGAATAACACAATGGCAGGGAATATTTCAAACAGGTAAATAAATCTATGTTATGTTTCGTTCTTTGCCTCGTAAACATCTACGAATCTAACGAATAAAAATGCATATTCACAATAACAAAATCGTTTCTTTCATTCGTGTCACATTTGATAAACAAAGAAACATTTTTATACCTGTTGTGTAATTCTTTATAGTTTATTAATGATGCATTTTTATCTTTGGTTTTTAGAATGATAATGTCAATATATTACATTTAGTGTTTTTCTGTCATGAGTATGCATTTCAATACTTTGATATACTGTGTAAATATTAAAGCACATTTCAAGTTGTTGTTTTTTTTTTTAGTATTTGAACTTGATTATTTCATTAAAATATATGATTTTAGTTTGAGAGAGTAAATGCAGTCACAAATAATGATTATTTAAAGCGTAAGAGCAGATAAAGAGTGTTTCAGATTAATTTACAAACTATTTTTCTCCACAAGCATCTCTGCCTGGGTAATAATCAATACTACTGGAACCATAATAGATCAATGTCCAGCTAGAACCGAAAATGAGCTTGTTATCTGATTGATTCCTTCTCTCTGACGTTATTCTAATCGGATCACGATTAGGAATATCATTTCTTCTGCAAAATTCAAGACCTACGACCATTGATACATTTTGTTGTGGTGTTACATGGAAACCGGTTTTCAATCCATCATAAATCATATTTTTATTTCCATATTGATCACAAATATTAAAATTTAAGTATTTCGTGTGTGTATCACAATCAAATGCTTTCTGTGGTTCTTGATTTGGTGGATAGTTTCCGTTGTGCCATCCAACTAATGAACGAATGCTCTCACCACCAGCAATAATTTCATGTATACCAAAGATTATTTCCTTGATGTCACGAAGAGATACTGGTACCATAAAGTAAATATGAATAACCAAACTAAAATATCAAACGAAAAAAAAATTATGAATTGTCATGGTTTCTAAAATGGTACAATTGAGCTGAGAAGAAAAATAAAAAATATTCTGTCAGATGTAATGAAATAAACATACAACCTGTAAATCACCTAGCAATCAAACAGTCATTTCTGCTATGACATATTTAAGCAATTGATTTCATTGACTCTTAGAAGAACTATAATCACTAATATTCATCACATCAAGCGAGAGATACTTCAAACGTATTGCACTATAGAATATTATATTTATATATTTCAATATAATTTCTTTTTTTGGTAAATATATACTCGAATCGAGATCATAAAATAGCAAAAGTTAAAGTCAACAATTATTTGGACTGTTGGCTACAAAGGTCATAATATGTAATGATGGAATCAACTGTTTAACTTTTGGTGTAACATCAAACTTTATAATCTTACTAAGTCCTGAAGTCTGCTATTTTCACATTTAGTTATGAAAAAAAAACAGATTTTACATTGTTAGAAAGTAAAGTAACAGTCGAAAAAAGTATTTCTTTAGATCTCTTTAAGAACAATCTACCATATGATGATTCTCTATTTTTTTATTCTTTTTGTTTTTTGTTGAATGGAGACCAACTGATATCACGTCTATTGTGAAAACTTTCAAAAGAAAAAACATTAAAAATATCTTTTATGTCTAGAAAATCTTCAGATTAATCAAATTCGAGTTAGACTCTAAAACAGTGTAAATTCCATAAACATCTCATTTTATGAAAATTTTTTCTTTTCAATGCCTAAATCTATTCTTCCTTTGAGATCACAAAACGAAGTTATAATCTTGATACATCTTCCACGAAAATCGATCTTCAAAGGGTATTAATCATGAGGAATATCTTGAATTTAGATGTTGCAAAATTTTTTTTGGAAATACGAGAACGTGGCAAAGGGCACTTATGTGAAGGTGTCGATTTTAAATAGCTAGATAGTTGGAGTTCGGAATATTGGATTGATTTTTTGTATCGCACTGCTAAGTAATTAGAAGGCGATAACTGTTGTATTCAATTGAGTTGGAAAGAATTGAGTTTGTCCATACATGCGTCTACTTGGATCAGAATCAAGACCACTTGAATCACTGTAAATTAGAGTCCAACTGGAACCGATAGTAAGTGCTTCGTCCGATTGATTGCTTCCTTCCAATGTTATCCTCATCGAATCACGATTTTACCTATCATTACCTGTACAAAATTGTAGACCTACAACCAATGATGTACCTCTTTGTGGTGTCACAGACCATGAATTATTACAGTTGTGACCAAAATTAGTTAAAGCATTCCGATACGATAAAAAAGAAACCTTCATTAGAAAGTCTTCGGACTTGTCCTTCTAGAGTAAATATTTGATGTAATGGTCGTTATTTTTATTACGGAATTTTATCCTTCAAAGTCTTTTTTGAAATACTTTTTAGGACGATCTCTTTTATTATTATTCAAGTTTCATGGTTTCAACTGAATATACGTATTGTCTAACTTTAATTATTACTACAAAAAACAATAGTCTTAAAAGTCGACATGAAATAATTATGACATGTCACCTATAAGTTTGATATTTTTAAGATAAGCAATAATAACACCTTTGAAATATTGTTTGAATTACCATAATATAATTTGATATAACTCATCTCATGATAATACTCATTTGTTTAAAAAATGTTTAGTTTATGATTCAAAAATGTTATTATATTTATATATTTCATTAGAAAATTTTGCAAAAGATACTTTATGATGATCAATAGACTAACAATATTAAAAAACGAGTGATACACCTTACTTCTTTTTTACATTCTTATTTGATTTTGAAATTTGTAAGACTTAATTCATTCGCGCTTTATCTTCCCTCTACCCGTGGTATGAGCTAAAGGAACAAAGAGAAGAGAACGAGAGAGATGAACCATGAAATAAATAAAAAAATAAAAAGCACCGCTTTGTTACTCTTTCTATCATTATTCAGTCATTGCTCATATCACTCGCAATTGAACTGCTTTAGAAAAGGATTTATTAGACTGTGACAAATCATCATGGAGTTAACTCATCATTAAATTGAACTGTTTGTTTTACTCTTTCAACTATTGCTCAAAACAAACATTAAAATCTCCGTAGATTATACTATCATTTCATCCACTTAGAGATGGGAACTGTCCGCTGACTGAATGTACATTCTTTCATATTTTATCTGTTTGCATGTGAATAGATCATAGTAGACGCAGTAAAACGAATTTGTTTTCTATTTTTACCAGGATAAATAGTGCTGTGAAGACGATAATCAGCAAAAATAAAAGCTTTCATCACGAGTGATGAAGTCAAAGAACACCATATATGTGATTTTCAATTTCTTTAGTTTTACCAACAAGTTCTCTCACATGATTAGCGCTTAGAAAATGATTTACGATGAAGTTGGATTTCTTTTCAAAGGTTTTTTTGTCTTGGTGATTTGAACGAATTTTTCTTTCTATTAATCATTATTTTGATAGTGATGCTGTTTCAAATGGCTAAGGTAAATTTCTTCAAATTTTGTAAGATTATGAACAAGCGTAACTATACTAATAACCAAGAAACTGAATTGAAAACCTATTATTTAATACGAAAATGTGTCTAGTTGGAAACTTAAAACAATAAAACTCTGTATCTACTATCACGATAATGATCCCAATTATCTTTTTGTAAATAGACAAGTTGAAAGACTTTTGTATAAATCGATTTTTGAGGTCGTCATAACTTTTTCATTAGGTAAAGTAGTTAGAGCGTCTATTTATTGTTTTCACTCGCAGAGAGGAAGAGTACTTTTTTATCGTTTGTGGACGTATTTTTTTTGTACAAAAATTTTTAATATCACTTTGTTTATTGGTGTTGATTCAAAAAAAATAGACTTACTTTGTTCTGTGATATGAAATTCTTAGATCTGAAATTCTCTTCTTCGTATTAACTCAAAAACAAAGAAATCTGTTTTTACCAAATATTACAGTTTTAAATCTTGCATGTATTGTCCGAATTCAAAGATTATTTGAAAATCTGACATTGCCGAAATTCGAATGATGGAATTTCAGTTGTCAAAATTCGAGAAAACTAGAATACGATTAAAAGCAAAGCAAATTAACTGATTTACTTGCATTGCAATAAATCTCTTATTGAAGACGTTCACAGCTCCAGTAATTCTATCGACAGTTGCCTCGTCTGTTATATATAACACGTGATACATCGGTGAAATGACTAATTCAATAGAATAATATCTGAGAAAATGGTAATACGTGCTTACATTGAAATACAAGATTGAAATTAACACCGGAACCTGACAGATAAAGAGATATTATCGAGAGTATTGGGCATGACTACGAGTAAGAACAAAAGTAGAGCAATAAAATAAAAACATTAACCAGACTCTAAACACACAAGAACAATTGAAATAAATATGTATATTAGTGGCGATATTCATTCCTCACAGTGGTTATTTTCTTCGCATTTCCTGACGTAGGCTTTTCGTCATCATGTTGAATGAAAACCAAACATGCTTGTTTCCTCACACTTAATTCTGTTTTAATGTGATGATCGACGCTTTATTTATAGTGCTAATAGTGGTGCACCTCTGTTGCTGTGGATGTACGCAAAAGAGAAATAAGAGGAAGTAATGATGATCACAACGAAATGGTTCACTTTTTCTTTCAGATATAATTAAACTAATTAACTCGCATGAGTAAGAATAATCTGATTCTCAATAGGTCATTGAGTGTATACATCTCATTATGATAATTTATTGACAATAAGATGCATATATATGCCGATATTTCCCTTAACCAATAATATTATTTAGGTTGTCAATAAATAGCAAATGTTTACTTGACATATGTTATTTTAACTTTTCTTTAGTTCCTCATTTTGTACAGCAAAGATTGATTCAGAGTCCTGCTTCAATTTCTATATCAAAATTTTGTAATACTGAAAGATGTGTTTGTAAATTTGTCTCTATCAAGGAAAGATGCAGTTAACCTTTTAAGTGCCATGGCTGTCTGTAAGAGACACTTTTATAATATTTCATATTTCAGATATTCATACTGCAATATTAGTATTTTCATTAAAACTTTTGAAAAAGTCTTTAAAGTCGTTGTCTGTTCATGCAGGCTTTCCCTCTCCCACAACGATGGAAAAGAGGCATTTTGCTTATCTTCATGGGGGAGCACGAGTGTGGATCAAAATATGATTGAGAGCTGTTGCCAAATCAATCATTGGAGTATCACTAGGTGTCACTCCTAGCTTGATTAGAACACAGAAAGTCGAAATACCGGGTGTCCCAAAAGTCTCTTCCACTTAAATTTTTCATATATCTGTGCTATTTGATTTGAATATATCAAGTATTTTTTTTTCAAATGATAGGCAAATGCACCAAGTTTTTATTGATATGAACGAACTTTAAAAGTACTGTTCAAAGGTATTACCTTTAACTGAAATAC